AATTACAACAAATTTTATGGAAACATGGGAAATTATTTGATCTCCGGGAACCGTCCATCATTAAAGCTACAGTCCATCATGCTATTGAAACTGGTACTTATCCACCAATTTATACTTCACCATATCGTGTTTCATACAAAGATGAACAAATCCAAAGGGAAGAAATTGACAGATTACTCAAGCAAGGAATAATTGAAGAATCTAAATCGCCATGGTCATCTCCAATAGTATTGGTAAGAAAAAAGATGGTTCTGTTCGATTTTGTATTGATTTTAGGAAATTAAACAATATTACGACCAAAGATGCATTTCCTATACCTCGGATTGATGATATCTTTGATCATTTTTCACAAGCTGAATATTATACAACCATCGACTTTAAATCAGGTTATTTTCAAGTTGGTCTGGACCCCAAAGATCGTCCGAAAACAGCTTTCTCAACCCGAGATCAACATTATCAATTTACAGTGTTACCTCAAGGTGTTACAAACGGTCCACCAGCATTTCAACGCATTGTTAGTCAAATACTTGGACCTACAAGATGGCAATATTCATTAGCTTATCTGGATGATGTTATAATATATTCACCAACATTCGATCAACATTTAACACATCTTGATGATATTCTCAACCGTTTAAATGATGCAAATTTTCGTCTTAATGTTAACAAATGTCAAATAGCAAAAACGTCGATTGATTATCTTGGTCATCACATTGAACGTAGTAATATTAGACCGAATGCAGACAATATTCGTGCATTATTGGAAACTCCACAGCCAACAACAGCAAGAGAAGCATTTCGATTCGTCAAAGCTGCTGAATATTACCGCAAATTTATACCTGGATTTTCGACAATTGCACAACCCTTACATAAATATGCACCTACTACAAAAGAACAACGATCACAAAAATCACAATCTACACCTATTATTTTATCCGATGAAGAACTTCATGCATTTAATGAATTGAAACAGATATTAACTAATGATTTAGTATTACGTATTCCCGACCAAAATTTCCCATTTAAGATACAAACCGATGCATCAAAAATTGGAATTGGAGCTGTACTTATGCAAACTCACCCAAATGGGGATCTACCACTAGCTTATTTATCAAAGAAATTTACAACAACCCAAATGAATTGGCCTGCAATAGAACAAGAATGTTATGCTATTATATATGCAATCGAAAAGTGGCATAAATATTTAGATGGACGTTCATTTACTATTGAAACAGATCATAAACCATTATTACCATTCAATTTAAAACAACAATTAAATTCGAAATGTGAACGATGGCGTTTAAAATTACAACAATATCAATTTACTATTCGATATATTAAAGGAAAACATAATACGGTAGCTGATTATTTATCCCGTTCACCAGTAGATAATGGAACAAATGATGAAGACGATTATAATCCAACACAATCTAGATCAACACAAACTGATAATTGTATGAAGACACAAATTATTGCACCTGTCATGACTCGTAGACAAGCAAGACAACAACCTAATGAGAGGACTGATCATCATTTATCAGATCAGACCTGTGATGGAAACCGACAAGCGAGGAATGCCGACATACCAATCGACCATTCCTGTATTCCAAAAGCCAACCAACTACCGACATCGATCTACAACACCGACTGTGATAAAATAATACCATTTACATTGGAACAATTAAAAGAATTACAACATCAAGATGATGAAATTAACAACATCATTCACAACATCAAGAACTACAAAGAATATTTTGTTAAAAATAATATGTTAATGAAAAAAGCATTTCCGCCAGTACCAGTTATACCCAAGGGAGGAATACGTTCCGACATAATTAAAATTTATCACGATACACCTGCAAATGGTGCTCATTTCGGTCGAGATCGAACTATCCACAAAATTCAACAACGATATTATTGGCCTCATATGATTTCCGACATTCAAAATTATATAAAATCATGTCTGCCTTGTTTACGAAACAATCCTCTACGGCAGAAACCACCAGGTGCTTTGAAACCAATCAAACCTCCGGAAGGTGTATGGCAATTACTTACAATGGATTTTCACGGACCGATTACACCAACAACAAAACATGGTAATAAATATATTATTTTATTAACTGACGTATTATCAAAATTCGTAATTACGAAAGCAGTCCGTGATTGCACTGCTTCAACTGCCGCACAATTTTTGATCGAGGAAGTGATCCTTAAATATGGCACTCCGAAATGTATTCTTACAGACAATGGTACTCATTTTACAGCAACGATGATGACTGAATTATTTAAGAAAATTGGTATTACACATTTATATTCAACACCTTACCATCCAATGACTAATGGACAAATAGAAAGATTTAATGCAACAATGGATGCTAAAATAGCAGCATTATCAAATGAAAAACGTACGAATTGGGATGAACAATTACCATTTGTTACATTCAATTACAACACCACTATCCACAAAACAACTGGACAAATTCCATTCAATTAATATATGGTCGTTCGCCAATTTTACCTTTCGATCAACAACAACCATTAGTTACCTTATCACAAGATCCGGAATACAAGTCAAAATTAAACCAATATTTATTAACATTAACTGAACAAACAAAAGTTAAAATATTAGAACAACAACGGAAATATAAAAACCGTTATGATCGATATCGTACCGATCCAACTTATAAAGTCGATGATCTCGTCCTTATTAAAACATTAAACAAGCGAAACAAATTCGACATACGATATGAAGGACCTTTCAAGATTACACAACAAATTGGAAGAAAAACATTTATCTTACAACATATTAAGAAACATACATTAATACGACAAGTTACAATAGATGTCCTTATTCCCTTATATGAACGCAAATATATGGATTAGGTATAAGTTGGATTAGTAACGTGAACTAGATATAGTCACCTTGTAGTTATCGGTACCGGACGTATACGCATCATCGCCCATCAGTCTTTGTCTTTCCTCTTCTCTTGTGATATACTTTCTTTTCTTCCTCACACTTCGTTTTATCATATACATCTTAAGACAACACTTTTATCTTTCCTTTCTGTTACGATTTACATTGTTTCTTCTTTTCCTTTCGTCTCGTCAGTATATATACATATATAAGCTCATTTCGGTGCAAATTGAATACATAAAAATGGAATGAAAATATGAATCTTACATAGATTCATGGAAGCAACAACCATTTTGAGAGGACTGTCCATGAAAGTCCTGTACGAATATATATATATTTTTTTCAGATATTTCAGATTTA